TGTTTATTAAACATGTGTGGGTGTTCGTCTGCATGTCTGTTTGTGATTAAGTTCGTACAGTGCCCATAGAGGCCAGAAAAGGGCATCAAATCCCCTTGAACTGGTTATGGATAGTATGAGCTGCCATGTGGGTGTTGGGAGTTGAACCTGAGTCCTCTGGAAGAGCAGCCAGGGATCTTAAGCTGAAGGTGGGGTTTAAATGAGTCCACCAGACCCAAGATAAATGATAAATAGGTATTTATTAGGGAAGCACTTACACAGATAACAGTAAATAACTGTAGAAATCTGCTCCGGGCTGCACTTCTGATGCTCTTACCACAACCCAAGAGAGCGAGAGCCAGCCCCTCCTCTACTTTATAATGGGTCATGTCTACACCTGAAACCACGCCCAAAGGGTGTGGCAAGGCAAGGCAAGATACTGCTACGTTAAGCCATCTCTCCAGCCCCTGACCTAGCTTTTTAAAGAATAGCAATCAAAATGCCAAGGGAGGGATTGTTGGTTCTCACCCCCATGCTGGCTGCAGCTGAGTGTGTCAGGAAAGTGTACTAAGGTGACCGGGAAGGAATAGAAATGTTTCCAGAGCTTTCCTGGCAAGGCAGGCTGTGAGCATTGGTTGTGACTGTAGATTCTTCACTCTCTGATTACATAAGCTTTTTATGCCAGCATGGATGTGCAACCCTGAATGTGTGTGTGCTGAGGTGTGTATCCTAGGAGGACACGTGAGTGCGAAGACATCAATCCATGACTTGAAGGTCACAAGAAAAGAGAAAAGGAGATGTCAACTGCTGGCTGGAAACTCGGCAGCTGGCCTAGTAGACACTCTCCACCAGGGAAAGCCTTCTGCCAAAATAATTGAGAATCTTGTAAAGATAACTTTCCCATGGAGCCAAAAAGAATGCTGGGCCAGAGAGACAAAAGACATGCACCGTAATCTTGACGGTCATTCATAAAACACCCTTTGTCTATTCAGGGAGACTTCAGTACTGGGCTCTGTGGGCCAAGGGGAAGAAAGAACAAGGAGGAATTTTTATCAAGTTACTCTTTCAGTGAACTGAGCTTTCTATGAAGGAACTGAAGCCAGCTTCATTCAGTACTTCGGCTTTTAGAGCAGGGCCTGTTTTAAGTTAAGAGACACCATATATGGAAAATGAATTTTCACTTCAGCTTTCAAAGCAGGGCCTGTTTTAAGTTAAGAGACACCATATATGGAAAATGAATTTTCTGAATGGTCCCTGGAAACTTTTTAACAGTTGATGGTTTTTAAAAACTCAATTCAACCCAGGGGAATAAAGGTTTTTCGTTGTTGTTTTAGTGTTTTCTATTAGTATTATGTCAGTATTCTATTAGCTTGTATTAACTATACATGATAAAGGTTTCATTATGACATTTTCATACATGTAGTATTGTGTCTGGCCATATTCACCTCTTGCTGGTCCCTTTCACAGTCCTTCTATAGTCTCTGCTCTCTTCCCTCTCTCTCTCTCTCTCTCTCTCTCTCTCTCTCTCTCTCTCTCTCTCTCTCTCTCTCTCTCTCTCTCTCTCTCTCTCTCTCTCTCTCTCACACACACACACACACACACACAGAGAGAGAGAGAGAGAGAGAGAGAGAGAGAGAGAGACCCAGTGAGTTTCACCAGGGTTGCCTACAGGAGCAACAGGTGGGGGTTTGCTTATGGGAGTGTGAGTACCCCTTACCCGTGGCTACATCACTGAAGAAAATGACTGTGACTGTCCCACGGGATGCTTAGCTTTTAGGTAGGGATTGGTTGTCTGGAAAAAAGACATTAAACATCTGTCTACTCCACAGGCATAATCCCTGCCCTCAGCCCACAGTAGCAAATGACCACGAGAGGAGGCCTGCCATTTGTATGCACTGAGTTTTTAAAGGTTTTAAGGCTTCTTCCTGAGCGTTTTTGTAAAACGAAATTTATGAGTTTTTCTTTAATTAAATTTATTTACTTATTTTACATCCCAACCGCAGTTTCCTCTCCCTCCCCTCCTCCTGCTTCCCCCCCCCCATCTTCCCCTGCTTCTGTTAGAAAGGGGCAGACCTCCTGTGGGTCTCAACAAAGCATGGCATATCAAGTTGCAGTAGGACTAAGCACCTCCCCTGTATTAAGGCGGGGCAAAGCAAACGCAGCCGAAGTGTTAGGGACAGCCTCTGCTCCCACTTTTAGGACTCCCACAAGTAGACCAAGCTACACAACTGTCACATATATGTAGAAGGACTAGGTCAGTCCCATGCAGGCTCCATTGCTGGTGAGAGTGCAAAACTGTACAGCCACTTTGGAAATCAATATGGTGGTTTCTCAGAAAATTGGGAACCAATGTACCTCAAGACACAAAGTTTTTTTGTTGGTTTGGTTTTGGCTTTCTGGTTTTGTTGTTTGTTTGTTTGTTTGTTTGTTTGGGGTCTTTCTCTTTTTTAAGGCTTCATCTGAAGCTGTCCATCTGCAACTGCTATGGGGCCGGCTGCATAGAGAAGGCTCTGGAACAGAGCAGCATTCCTCCAGAGGCCTCCCATCCCACCCTGTTGGCATCAGCAGTGGAGTTATGACCAAATAGTTATTAGTCATGCTTCTGGCAGGGCTCTCTCAGCAGAGGAGAAATAAAGTATGGAACGAAGGACTGCTCATCAGAGTAACATCCCAGACATGGGCCACCATCTGCTCCTTAATGACACCGGGCACTTTCCAAGTACCCCTCCTTCCTGTTCTTGTGATGCCTGGTCTTCTTTCGAAACTGCATCTGTCATGGCATTTCCAGAACAGCTCCATCTAGGGAGGGAGCTGGCAGCCTATGAGTCAGATTTATAACTCGTGAAAGGGATTACGTAAGAGCTGATGCCCTGGTGTAGTTAGTCCAGAGGCCGTTAGAGGAGGACGCTCTCATCTCGCACACCATTTGAGTCCATCTTATTTCCCATTGCTGTAACAAAACACCCCAAACCATGTAATTTATGAAGACCAGATGTTTCTTCTCCCTATGGCTCTGAAGGCTGGGAAGTTCATGAGCATGGTGCCTGTGTCTAGCACCTTCTTAAGGTCATAACTTTGCAGAAGATGTCACAGTGAGAGTGGATGTGTCAGGTCAGTCAGATCTACCTTCCTCTTACCCACCGGTCAACCTCTTGCAGACCCCATCCTGAGGACCTCATTCAATCCTCATGACCCACCCTCCCAAGCCCTGGCTTCAAACACCGTTGACCTATGAATCTGGGAATTCAATTCCTAGCCCATGGGATCTGGGGAGATAGATGCAAGCTGTGGCACCCCATCTCAATGGAATTCAACCTGTGGCTGCCTCACCCCATCCACCAGTCCCCACTCTGCCATCCAAGTGTGAGTTCAGACAAGTCAGGGGCAGAGCTGGGGAGAAGACTGAGTGGATGAAGCACTTGCCATGTGTCTCAGTTTGCCTCGCTGCTGTTGTGCTAAAACATTGACCAAAGTCCAGTGTGGAGAGGAAAGGGTTTATTCGGCCTACGTGTTGCAACTATCATCAAGGGATATTTCAAGGCAGAAGCCTAGAGGCTGGAACTGAAGCAGACACAGGAGCCCTGCTGCCTCACTGCTTACTGGCTTGCTCTCCAAGGCTCATTTTCTACCCTCCCTTTTCTTCTAAAACAGGGTTTCTGGGTGATGGTGGCACACATCTTTAATCCCACCAGCACTTGGGAGGCAGAGACAGGCATATCTTTGTGAGTTCCAGGAGAGCCAGGACTACACAGGGAAACCTTGTCTCGAAAAATAAGAAAAAGACAGGGTCTTGCTGTGTAGCCCCTAGCTGGCCAGGAAGTCCCTATGTAGGCCTCAATCTGCCTTCTTGTACAACCCAGGACTATCTGCCCAGGGGTAGCACCATCCACAGTATACTGGACTATCCCACATCAACCTTTAACCAAGAAAATGCCCTGAGACATGCACACAGGCCAGTCTGACAGAGGCGATTCCTAGTTTGAGATTCCCTTTTCCTGGGCGACTCTGCTGTGTGTCAGATTGACAGAAACCAACTAGCAGGCCATGCTAGCATGGCGATCTGAGTTTGAAGCCCCAAAGCCCACAGAAAGCCAGATGCAGTAGTGCATATCTGTGGCTTTAGTGCTTCCACGAAGAGATCGGAGGTGGAGACAGGAGAATCCACAACTCACAGGTCAGCTAGCTCAACTTAAACAGTAGCAAACAATAAAAGACCCTGTCTCAAACCACGTAGAAGTAGAGAAGTGACACCTGGGGCTGTCCTCTGAGCTCTACACACGCGGCATGGCATATACTTGCCTACACACCACACACACACACACACACACACACACACACACACACACACACACTGAATAGGGCAGTGGGGTCAGATAAGTTTAGCTTTTGATACTAAGCATCCTGCTGGAATTGCAACATCTTTAAGTATACTGCTGACTCCATATGTAATTTGGAGGTGCATGTACTTAATCCCAGCACTCAAGAGGCAGAGGCAGAGGCAGATGGTTCTCTGTGAGTTCAAGGTCAGCCTGATCTACATGATGGGTTCCAGGACAGATGTATAGAGAAACCCTGTCTCAAAAAAGCTGAAATCAATCTATGAGGTCAGTGGGTTGGTGATACGAATTATCCAAGTGAGCAGCAATCTCAATTAAATGGTTATGGAGATTAGGATCATTGTTGTTGTTTTAAATTTTATTACATCTTATTTCTTTATTGGGGAGGGGCATTGCCATGGCAACATGTGACCATCGGAGAACAACTTGCAAAAGTTGGGTCCTAGGTTTGAACTCAGATTGTCAAGCTTAGCAGCAAGCACCTTTACCTTCTCAGCCATCTTGCCAGCCCTATGATTTTTTTTTGACTGATTAATTAATGTTTTGGTGCTGGGAATTGAGACCAGTGCCTTGGGCAAAGCAAGCATGTGCTCTACTGCTAGGCTGCACCCCTCACCCTGAGAGTTTGATTGTAAAAATCGAACAGACGTTTATTTTGGTGGACATCGTGGGTTTACACAGAATATGCAGCCAGTAAAAATCGAAAAGACGTTTATTTTGGTGGACATCGTGGGTTTACACAGAATATGCAGCCAGGTATGTTTTAAAAACTTTTCAAATGATCCTATGGAGCTTTTCTGGTCTACACAGGATGCCCAACTGAATGCATTAGTTGGGAAGACACTGGCTCTTTACCGGAAAGGGAAGGGTAGGCATGTACATGTCCAGCCCCAGCTGGCAGCTTCACCATGTGTCTCCGTTTTCCTTTGCATCTCAGTGGAGACAACCAGATCATGGGGTGTGTCAGAGGCTCCACAAGGACACTGGTGTGGGCCCTGGTACTGTGACTGGTCAGAAAGGACCACACTGTACACACTGTAAGAAACATAATTGGGTGTGGCTGTAGGTGGCCAATTGGCTCCACCCATATCCTTTGCAAACTGAATCCCTGACTGGCCTTTCTTTTTCAGCGGCCATAGGCCCACTAGAAGATGATATTGTGACCCCGGGTACAAGAGATGGCCTGGTGACCCCAGGTCTAGAAGACAGAATAGCAACCACAGGGGCTACTGGAAGACTGGATGAATCTACTGGCAAGGGACCTCTGGTGAGTGCCTAGGGACAGGGGGAGTTGGCGCCAAAGGCAGGCTGTGACATGCCACAGTATGATGTATACTTATATGTGAAATCAGCGGCTGTCCAACAAAATAGTGGCATGGCTCAGGACAGAAGGTACATCCAAGTCTCATCCAGGGACAAGGGAGCTGGTGTGGTGGGCACAGACAATCTGAGAGCAGTAGAACACATCTTCTCAAAGTAGTAAGAAATCAGTTTAGTGTTTGCAAACCTGAGCCTCATGAGGCCAGGTGTTTTGGCACATGTGTTTAATCCCAGTACCCAGGAGGCAGAAGCAGGCAGAGCTCTGTAAATATGGGCCAGCCTGGTCTACATGGCGAGTTCCAGGACAGCCAGAGCTACATAGTGAAGCTCTGTCAATTAAACAAACAAACAAGCTAAAAAGGACTAGATTCGGGGAGGTTTGGTAGGTCCCTGGGGAGGTGGGAGGGGTTCACTTAGAGGGAGCATGAAAGCCCCAAGCCAGTTACTATATACCTAACTGTGTATCTCTTCACCCAGATCATTTGCTCTATCCTCAGTGATGAGCAATAAAAATGTTAAAAAGCCAACACTGGGCTGGGGAAATGGCTCAATCAGTAGCATGCATGCCTTGCCATCATGAGGACCTGCGTTTGATCCCTAAAACCCATGTAAAAGTTAGAGGGGATGGTACCTGCTTGTAACCCTCGCTCTGGAGATACTGAGAAAGGAGAATCCCTGGGGTCTGCTGGCCAGCTAGCCTAGCCCAATAAGCATGCCCCAAGACAGTGAGAGTCCTGTCTCTTGAAACAACAAACACACATTCACACACATCCACTGTGTAGAATGATTTTTTTTTTTCCTTTGGGCCACCAGCTCAAAAAAAAAAAAAAAAAAAAAAAAAAAGACATGGAGACTTATTAATTATGAAAACTTGGCCTAGAGCTTAGGATTATCCCAATAACTCTTACAACTTAAATGAGCCCATTTTTATGAATCTACATTTTGTCTCATGGCTTTTCTTTTTTTTTTAAAAGATTTATTTATTACGTATACAACATTCTGTCTGCATGTATCCCTGCACGCCTGAAGAGGGCACAGGACCTCATTATAGATGGTTGGGAGCCACCATGTGGTTTCTGGGAATTGAACTCAGGACCTCTGGAAGAGCAGTCAGTTCTCTTAACCTCTGAGCCATCTCTGCAGCCCAATGTCTTGTGGCTTTGTAACCTCCCTTCCGTCTTGCTCCTCCTGTTTCCTCTCAGTCTCCCCATGTCTCTCTCGTGCCCTCTCCTTTTCTCTCTCTCTGCCTGGAAGTCCTGCCTAACCTCTTCCTGCCTAGCTATTGGCCATTCAGCTCCTTGTTAAACCAATCACAGTGACATATCTTTACACAGTGTGAAGGAAATTTCCACAACACTTCACCCCCTCCCCTACATACGTTTACTCTTAAAACCAGAACCACTTCCTAGCCTCTGCCGTCATGGAATGGCTGTGAGGGATCTTTCCTGCAGGAAGTCAGCTCACATTATGAAACCTCTTCAGCTTTGTTCATTGAATTTACTTTAGAAAGTTGCCTGTGGTCTACTGAGAATATTGAGAACGTATTTAAAGGGCCTGGTACAAAGGAAGCTGTCGGCGACAGTGAGCTGTCCCCCTCCACGTAGTTCTGCCAAATCGGTGCTACAAGAGGAAAGTGCTATTCCAATTCTAGGGAGAGAAAATATTAGGTGAGCCAGTTTGTTTTTTTGTTTTGTTTTGTTTTTTTGTTTGTTTGTTTTGTTTTGTTTTCAAGAGCTAAGGGACAGGAAGTCTGCATGCCCAACATTTAAAAGTTCATTTCTGGACTGAACCTGGTTTTACCCCTATCTCTACTCTTTCTTGTCGAGAACAGGGTTTCTCTGTATAACAGCTCTGGTGGTCCTGGAACTCACTCTGTAGACCACGCTGGCCTTGAACTCCTAGAGATCCACCTGCCCCTGCCTCCCAAAGGCCTGCAGCACCACTGCCCAGCTCCACCTGCACTCTTGTTTGTTTGCATCTGGGATTTATTCTTGTGTGTTTTGAATACATGCTACCTTAAAATATTTCCTTTAGGAAGTCAGACACTGTATGGTTTTTTGGTTTTTCGAAACAGGGTTTCTCTGTATTGCTTTGGAGGTTGACCTGGAACTCACGCTGTAGACCAGGCTGGCCTGGAACTCACAGAGATCCAGCTGCCCCTGCCTCCTGAGTGCTGGGATTAAAGGCGTGCGCCACCAATGCCCGGCAACACTGTATGTCTTAAATACGAGCCTTTATTTTCTCTTTTGCCTTGCTCACTCCTAACAGGTACCACACACAAAGATTCCCTTTGAGGAACTGCCAACTCCAGGAACCTCAGACCCTGATGGAGAAGAACATAAGAGTACAACCACTGTCAGAATGGTGACTAGCCACTCTGCAGATAAGGAAACAAGTCACCCCAACAAAGGTGGGTCCACTCTTACGGAACCCATGAAACCCAGAAGCAGAAGAGTCAGAGACTGAAAGTATAAATTCCATGCCAAGCTTTGTGTGCTGGGTACAGAATCCAATATCAACTTTAGTTTACTGGCTTTCTGGGACTATCTCTCAACCTTGAATTGTAACTAGTGGCAACTCCCTGCAAGGGCCAGCCGCTGGCTCTGGGTGTTGCGTTGCTGACCCCGAGTTAAGATTCTTGTGTTAGCCGGGCATTGGTGGTGCACGCCTTTAATCCCAGCACTCTGGAGGCAGAGGCAGAGGCAGAGGCAGAGGCAGAGGCAGAGGCAGAGGCAGAGGCAGAGGCAGAGGCAGAGGCAGAGGCAGAGGCAGAGGCAGAGGCAGAGGCAGAGGCAGAGGCAGAGGCAGAGGCAGAGGCAGAGGCAGAGGCAGGCGGATCTCTATGAGTTCGAGACCAGACTGGTCTACAAGAACTAGTTCCAGGATAGGATCCAAAGCCACAGAGAAACCCTGCCTTGAAGAACCAAAAAGACTCTTGTGTTAATGCATACTTCCAGGTGCAGGTGCCAGTCTGGCTTTAAGAACTCTACAGTACTTGCAAGGATTTACAAAATGATTTTACATCCAGGTGTGGTAGCACATGTCCATAACGCTCATTTTCTGAGGCACAAGGATTGCAAATTGGACACTAGCCTGGGCTACCCAGTAAGACTTTATTTGTCAAAACAAAATAATAGCATGGGACTGCAGGAGATGCTGCTTCAAGTGCAAAACAAAACCTTGCAGATTGGTATGCCTGTGTACAGATCACTATCCACAACATTTAACACATGGAAGCAACTCAGTATTCCCAAACAAATGAATGGAGAAAAAATATAATATGTACACACAGTGGGATATTACTTAGCCCCAAAAGAGAAATAAATGCTTACAGATGCTATAATATACGTGAGGCGAGTTCAGCCAGACACCAAGGACAATATGGTGTGAGCCCACTTGCATGAGGTACCTAGAGGTGCTGAAATCAGTAGATGGAGATAGCAGAGTGGTGGCTTCTAGGAGCTAAGGAGGGGTACATGAAGAGTTACTATTTAGTGTGTGTAATGTTTCCACTTTGCAAATGGGAAGGATCCATGTTTTTGAGAATGTGGTTCAGTAGCAGAATGTTTACCTAGCCTGGTCCAGGTCCTGGGTCCGAGCCCTGGCACACACATACAAAAGTCCAGTAAATGGATGGAGGTGATGATTGTACATGACTAAGCTGCACGCTTCCAAGAATTAATGTTGGCCAGGCATGGTAGTCCACAGCTTTAATCCCTGCACTCAGGAGGTAGAGACAGATAGATCTCTGTGAATTGGAGGGCAGTATGGTCTACAAAGTGAGTTCCAGGACAGCCAAGGACTGTTAGGCAGAGAAAGCTTCTCTAGAAAAACCAGATAAAAAAAAA